GTGTGTGTACAGTATATGTGTGTGCACCATCTAAAGCCGATTCCTGTCAGGTACTAGGAAGATTAATTTCATTTGTCTTCCACACTGTATCATCAATTTATCCTTCCCCAGTTGAGAGAGGGGGGAAATCTCTGAGGTATTGCTACTCTGGAGAGCCGAACCTGACACGCATGGCCCAATTCCCACAGAAGCAGCTTTTATTATTAGGCCCACGCACAGCATAGTACAAGTCATTACTTTTTCTGTTGCTCTAAGCCCATCTGAGGAAACAGGGTTCCCCAAGAGAGCAAGTGGCCAGAGGATACAGTTTGGATTGGCTCAAACCAACTAGAACTCATACAAAATATTTGCTCTAGTAACGTGTGTAAGAGCATTGCAACTTTTCACAAAAAACACAGGTTCATGCCCCTGCTGTAGCTGGGGATAAACTTCTTTTTACTCTAGTTTAATAGTAAATTTGCCGTCTGAGGTTGATTCATTGCATCGTGTTTTTTGCAGCTTGATTAGATTGGACTGAAATGTTATTTTGCTTTGATGGTATGACGTGTCATCTCTTCTATCTCTGAAGTCCTGTAACTCATTGTGTCACTTGATGGTATTATCATATTATTTGCCTCAGCCATCAGGGAAGTCAAGAGGTTTTTTTTTGCATATCGAATGCCAACATTCATTTTGGCTTGAACAGTTGAAGCTGCTTGCTAATACACCAGTCTTGTGCTATATCTACTCACTTTCATGGATGTGATTAAGCTGTGATGACACTTCATTCCTGTCTGCATCCATGTATCCATATTGGATTTTCCTAGTGGTTGATTGTTGGTCAGTCAGTGTATCTATATTTTAGGCTGTCTGGTTTCAGCATATCTTCATCAAGTAACTCTAAGAACAGTTAATTACATGGTGCCCTGGTAGCTCACCTATTAGAGCGCATATATATCAAGGCTGAGTCCTCACCACAGTGGCCTGGGTTTCAATCTTGGGCCCTTTGCTGCATGTCATCCCCTCTCTCTCCCCCGCCTTTCCTGTCTCTCTCTCCTACCACAATGCTAAATAAAGTGAAATTCCCCAGAATATAAAATAAAAATAAAAAAAACACCTAATTACCTCTTTTCTAAAGCGATGGTAAATATAAATTATATATTTTTTCACATGTAGCATGTTCCAGCTTTGAGAAAAAAAATCATTATTCACATTTCTGACACTTCCCAAGCTTTTATCATTATTTGTACCATTCTACAAGTCATGTGTCAATAATAATCACTTGTTCAATAACCTTTTTTAGTTATTCCTCTAATCTAATCATATTTTATTATGTTGTATTTTTTCCACAGTGTCATTTTGTGACAGACACTATAAAGGATGCTGTAGCTTACTCACTCCAAGACGAGTCCTGGCAGCTGTCTAGATCTCAGCTGTCTGATCATTATTTAGGATGTTTTGTTTAAAAGGCTCTGCAATCCCATTAATGTATTATTTAACTGTACATAGGCACCGTGCTCTGTACTGAGGTCAGAAGTCATTACAGCGACATGATTAATGGGTAATCTTGTTTATATAAATCACAGTTTAAGCACACTATTCGTCACCTTCTCTTTTCTCTTCTTCACCCATCATTAAGGAGCATGTTCCCTTGAGTGATAGTACAGTGCAATCAGCACTTTGTTGCAGCTTCCTCAGTCAGCACATTGTTGGATGATGATGTTCTGGCCCTCGCAATGTTGTTTGGCTTCAGTAAATTCAGTCTTTTGCTGGATGAACTTGATGAATAATACTTGGTCTCTGCAGAGATCTGTTGCTTTGTAGATGTAGTGCACATTTAATGTGAATGGAATAACATGTACTTCTTGTGCAAACATTTCAATTGAATCTATTAATTTTATCAGTTTGTTTTTGGGCTTAGTCCTTAAAATGTGTAAATTCTTTTCTGAGAAACAGAAGTATCAGTAACAATGTGTCAAGAATGCATTCATATGCTATATTTTAAGGGCTTATCACAATTAAGCTTTAGTTCTTTTGATTTCAGATTACATTTCCTTCGCTCACTAATCCATCACATGATTGAACAAGCGAGACACTTTGTACCCGTGTTGACCAGTCTGCAGCATTGAATACTCAGTATGTCATTCCATATCTCATTTATACTTCAGTCTTCTTTTTCTCTCTTTTCTCTGTTTTAGATTGGGTGTATGATGCCAGCCCAGAACCCAAAGTATTTTATGACTTCTAACTTAAATAAAACATAGAAATACATAATGTGAGCATCAGTCTATGGATAATGCGAAAAAGAAGTGCCATCTCTTAATGCACACATTTAATGTGTGCATTAAGAGATTTTCCTACCATCATTTTTCACTTTTTGCATCATTTCCCTCGTCACACTTTTGTATTACATAACCCATTGTTCATTTTATGTTGCAACGTTCTATTATTATTTTGGGTCCAGGGATTGTTTTTAACCTTCATAAACTGTGAATTTTGCAGTAGCCGTATATCTTTCATTTTGGCTAAATGAAAGAGTCAGTTTGGCACAATAAAGGAGTCATTCTGTAATGAGAGAACATGATAGATTCTTTGTATACTAAAGACACACATTTATTCTCTCTCATGATAAAACACGGAAGGCAATAAATAAATTATTGCTCCTGTTGTCACCATATTTGTTTACATCTGCCTCAGCCCACAGATGAAAAGCCAACCAAATGTTTAATGATGGGTCAGTCATCATTTTTCATCTCTCGATTCTTGGAAGTCTCAAATAGATTTAAGGGGTGGTAGATGATCTCTTTACTACTGCAGTAAAAAACACAGCATCACAAAAAATGCCCAGCTGTAGAATTAGAAACAACCCGCTTAATTTTTAATTCCTCAGCAAAACTAGTCACTTCTGTGGATATCTTTGAAGCTGTACCTGCTAATAATTTAAACTACTATAAACAGTCACAAGTGTGTTTTTCTAACTTGTGTTCTGATTTGTTGGCAGGAGGGAGACTAATTTTGACAGCTCCTGTTACGTAGTGTTTCCTTCCCAGCTTGAACTCTCCCCTCCCCTCTATTTCTTCTGTGATCTTGTTGCTATTTTTGTTAGGTCTGCATAAATAATGAATATCATCAACTCTTTGAATAAGGCTGACTTACTTACTGAATCTTCAGACTAAGTATCTTAAATGTGGCTGATGGACAGTTAAGATATAAGTTGTTTTGAGGATAATTCACATGTTTGCTTTGAGTCAGCACATTTGGCGCAGTACAGTTTGTTTAGAGGACTGTGCCTTCGAAGACATGTTACTGTGTAGTCACAGCTCTAAGGATATACCGCACTAAGAGTATGTGACACACTTTTCCATTAGTTCAGTAATGCACTTCACTGAGTCCTCTTAAGGGACATTAAAGGGGCCAACTATTGTTGCAGCATGCAGCATTCTATGCCTCCTGTTAGCACTCTATTATGAGTGGACACAAAAACAAAAACATTTTAATTGAGCACAGATATTTTCATTAAATATTTATCTGTTGGTCAATTTTTTAATTGATCAATTAGTTATTTAGGCAATGCATTTCCCCAGAGCACCTTCAGATTGCTTGTTTTATTTGACCAACAGAGTAAAACTCAAAGATACTCAAGGAACAGTGTGAATGATTTTGTAGCATGTAGCAGTGAAGTTGCAGTTTGCAACTAACTGAACGCTACTCTCATCTCTGTTTGACGACCTTGGAATGAGAATGGGCTGTAGAGTGTATAGGAGAAACTTCTGTCCTCAGGAAAGTTGTGTAAAATGCAAAAGGCCCTATCTACCAATCTACTTTTGGTTTGTCAGTTCTGGGGTACCGTAGAAACATGGTGGTTCAACATGGCGGACTCCATGTAAAGTGACTTAAGCCATCTGTAAATAAAAACAGCTCATTCTAAGGTAACAAAAACACAACGATTCCTATATTCAGGTGATTATACACAAACAAACATACTTGAGCTATGAATATTATATTCCCTTTTACACTCAAATAAATTAAAAAAGCAGCAAATTCTCACATTTCAGTACATGGAACCAGTGAGTGTTTGACATTTTGCTTAATAAATTACTCAATTATGACAATTTGTAGGGATTCTTTTTCCTGTTGTTCAAATAAATGATAAATCGAATAACAATGTCAGCTGTAGTTTAGATAATAGTTTATCAGAACCTGCCAAAACAACGCCTATTGGCTTTCACAAGGCAGAATAAAACTTTTTCTTCAGTATAGGATATTAACAGCTCATCTGTCACTAGAGATCTGTGGTTATATGCTACAATTAACAAACTAATGGTGTGCCTTGTCATTAGTCCTGCCATTATCAGTCACATAAGCCTTATCTAAAATTCCAACAACTGCTTATACAAGTTTACATGTAGAAAACTAAGGTTTAAAACTTTAAACGTTGAAATGTCCACTAGGAGATAATATTTCTGCATCATGCTTTGATTCAGACGCTATTTATGTGGAAGCTGAATATGGATAATTAAAGTTAATGCCAGCAAGGAACTAAAGGATATTTTTCTGTGTGATAATTAATGAGGTGGCAAACAGAATCAGGAGACACACGTTAAAGCCACTTTGAACTATGTGTCTTATAGCAAACCCTTTTCATTAAGAGCATTCAAGGTATGTTGTCAGTAATAGAAAAATAATATGTGAGGAAGAGGTAACTTGAGGTAAATAACTTGAGGTACAGAGCCCAGACATCCTTTAATGCAATGCCAGTGAACTACACACAACACGCTCATGTTTAGCATGAGTCTGTGATCACTTTATATCAAAGGTTACTAAAAAGACCAGAGATGATAAACATGCCATGCCGGTGAGGCAACTTTTTCTGGACAGTATGCTTGGTGCTGCTATGAGCAGTATTGGGTCTTAAAGGACCAGACATAACCACAGATTGTATACTTATATTTTTTTTTTTAGTTTTTTTAATTTTTAAAAAAAAAATGTAGCAGTAATTTGAAACAACAAATCATTTTCCCAACAATCACACTTGACTTGTATTTGTCCCCTATATTTGATTACTTGTGATTTCTTATGAAATAAAGGTGATGAGTTGTTGTTGTTTAAGGTCTTAGCAAGTTGTCTTGGCTTCAAATTCATCCAGATTTCTTATCGATATTACAGTATGCATGAAGGACGAGGTTACGATACAAAAATACACTGAGGTCTGTAAAAAATATAATGTTTTTAAAAAAATCTCCCTTTAAGTAGTGTAACCTGTGTGTGTGAAGCACATCTTTTAGATCTATTGAAAATGATAAATCATGCTGACAAAGTGGTTACGTAGAAGATGTAGAATTTTTCAGATCACTATAAGTTTGACAATGGCATTTATAACCTTATAGTTACCATTGAAGTTTTTTCTTTTTTTTTATGATCAACAAATCTCATGAAAAGATGTAAACCGACAATACATTTATACTGACAAGTGTTTGTAACCACAGTCTGATTGTAGATGATCTGTGCCATAGATGATGACTATTAAAAACATGTGAAAGAGCCAGTGTCAGCATATTCCGTCATTTCAGTAAACAAAGCCAGTGTAGTTTATTCCCGCTCAGTTTGTCAGACTGGCAGAACAGAAATGGGACCATGTCCTAGAGCATGTGCAGTGATGTCTCCAGAGACATCCAAAATGCAGTCACAGAGTTGTTGCAAAATTATCAAAACTCAGCCTTTAAATGTCTAGCTTGTTTGTTTAGACTTGCATAGATGTTTTGAGGTTAGAAACTAAAGCTGAACCCGGACTTGACAAAGTAATAAAATCCTTTGGGTACTAAAGTAATAAGAAGACATTGCTCTGATTAAGTTGTTAAATATGTAATGTCTTACTTAAATATGCTTCATTTCCTAGGGGCACGGTGTGACGTTAACATCGATGAATGTGTTTCAAACCCATGCCAAAATAGTGGGAGATGTATTGACGCACCTAATCGATACGACTGCTTGTGTCCTGATGGCTTCACTGGGCTCCACTGTGAGACCAACATTGATGAATGCATGTCAGCGCCTTGTCTTCATGGGAGGTACAGATTTTTCTCTGTCATCTAAAACAGAAACACTGCAAATTGTGCAGAAATGGCAAGGCATTATTTTTAATTACACTCCTTGCCAGCGCAGTGAGTGGAGACATATGTCACATGTTGTAAGGAGCTAATGTGATGCACTTAGGTTGTCTCAGTGGTCTCTAAATTATAGTCATTAATTCCGTTGAAGGGGAAATTCTCATTCATTCAAAAGACTCTAAGGATTTTGCATGAACTATAGAGCTAAAGACCTGCATATTTGAATGCTTTTTAGTTGATTTCATTAAGTATTATAATTTTGATTAATTCAATTCTGACCCCATCTGTTGTGGCCTTCTCAGCTGCATGGATGGAATATATTCACACTCCTGTCTTTGTGAATCTGGATGGACCGGCAGCAGATGTGAAACCAACATTGACGTGAGTTGAGCTTAATTAATAAACCTGCTGGATGTTAAACAGGAATGTCAAGAGAATTCTGTAATCTTTGTGTGGCCTTTGGTATCAGTAACTCTATTGATTTTTCTACAAGATAAGTCAATTGAACTACCAGGATCATGTAAGCATTGTACAAATACCTGATTAAAAGAAATTGCTAATGCCTGATTGATTTAAACCACAACTTGTGCTGGACTCTAGAGATAAAACATTGAGTTGCTTACAGGGTCTCTGGGAGCATTTAGTTTAATGGGTAATGAGATTATTTGCTTTTTAACTACTAACAATGCATTCTAAACCAAAGTTGTTTTTCTTTTTTAACTAGACATTATGCATTTTAGATAGCAAATCATCTATTTTATGGTTGTATCTGTCAAAACATTTAATACTATTTTACGGCCCCTCACTCCTGTAAGTTTTTGATGTCTTTTCATTCACAGGATTGTGCTTCCAGTCCCTGTTTGAATGGAGGCTCATGTGTGGATCTCATTGATAAATACGCATGCTTCTGTCAGGATGGTTACACTGGGAAAACTTGTGAGAATGATATAGACGTCTGCAAAGATGCCACTTATAATGTCTCACTGTGTTTCAATGGAGCCACCTGCATTGATGGTGAGGGATCAAACTTTACATGCAGGTGAGTTGATCCACTGTTAAATGTTTTTTGTTTTTTTAATGATGTACTGATACCGAAAAATTATCCCTGGGTGGAGTCATTGTAATATGAGCTGATTGGAGCATGCCCTTTGTGGATATTTAAACTGTCATGACTCACCTTAAAAAAGTAAAGGCTAATATTAGCAGTCCTGCCCAGCTCTTTATTGGATTGGAAGTTACAGTTAGGGTGAGGGACATCTAGCTGGAACTCATCAAGCTGTTGTGTAAACATTAGCTTAACAAACCTACTCTTTGTAGTATTTAACAGGTTAGTAGAAGTTATTCTTAATGCCTGCCACCAGCTCAGATTCAGTTGGATTCCCCTTGAAGTCAATGAAACAAGGCGGTAGAAACACAAGCACTTTTGTCCACAGGGGCTGTTTAATTAGGAATCTAGCTACAGTGACAGTTGGCAGTTCAGCCAGCAAAATCTAAAATTATTAAGAATTGTGATTCTTGAATGTGCCCCCATAGATGTAAACTACACATGTGCTGTGCAAGACTTGAAGCCTTGATGGGTAGCAACAGTAATTAAGGGGACAGGGCTTAGTAAACGGTCAATACCTAAATACTGGGGAGTTGTAAGTATCACAGGTGAACTGATAAACATGGAAAAACATTTTTGAAATGTGAAAAAAATGTATTTGCATGTCAAAATTAAGTATTCTAGGAATTTTTCTTGTCTCTATCTAACAATGCATTTTGTTTCACAAGAAGGTGCTACAGTATCTGTGCATTCCTCCAGGTTGGTCGCAAGTGAATCATTACTTTTTAATTGCTGACACTCTCTCCCTTGAGTGATGAAGTGTATCTGGATACAAGGTGTACTGTATGTAGTAAGAGTGTGCAGATTTGACATAGCAGCTCCCTGGATGCCTTACAGTTAATTACATTGTCTAACCTTGTGCTGATGTGCTGCTGCTCAGTGTCATGATTTAATGTATCCTAGACTACCACAACTCCAAATAGGTTGGCGCACTTTACAGTGTTATATATTGACGCACTGGACTGCCTACTGCCTCAGCACAGCATTTTTTTATGGTGTTTACTTTATTGTAGGATAATTTGTGTATAATATTACAGAGAGGCAATACAGTGTATCTTGTGAGTTTATAGGTAAATGTGTGGCAGCCAAACTTAGTGAATACACACATTTTATGTCTAACAATGTCCTTTAGTGTCCTGCTGATCTGCAATATGATGATTGTGCATTGTGTGCTCTTTCCAGAACAGAGGATTCATCAAATGAAATGTATTGTGGAATTAGTGCATTATTAACTGGTTATTGGCCTTATTTAGATTCAGTAATCAGTCATTTCTTTAACCAAGTTGCTTGATTTGTGGTTTATTTACAGATATAATATAATAATATTTGAGTAATAGATGGAAAGTCAGCATTTTGCCAATTTGTTTCTGTGTGGATATATTATGTACTTTGATTTAAAAGAAGCATTTTACACCACCAGAAAACTTGAATACAGATTTAGCTGTTGTCTAGTGTTGGTCGGTCAATTTCTGAGTAACAGCAGGTTGCAATCTGTTGTTTGTGGTGACTGATGCTACACTGACTTTAAAGTCACATTCAAATATTTTTTGAGAGACGACCATGTTTTGTACATGCACATATTTTTTTCCACTTGAATGGAGAGGGCAGTGACTAATGGCCTAAAATATAAAATTGGTCAAGCAATAGTTTCTTCGCCAGACCACATCTACAATACATGAAATACTGTGAGTGTTGTTTTATCTGCATGTTATGTGTGAAGTGGTACATATTCAATTCTGCACCTGTTCAGCCAGTGGCCTCAAAAGCACTCCATTCCCTCTCTGTTATGGTGGTCAGCCAAGAGGTTATGCATGAAACCATTTTCCCATTTTCTGATGTTGTAGTGTTATGTGATTAAAGCAAGCATGTCTCAAAGATCTCAGTTTACAACAAAAGTCAAATTCCCAAAGAGGAATTCTAGCTTTGTGAGTTCAGCAAAGGTGTGTTAAAAGTGTATTAATTGAAACATGAGAAGTAGTCTGGTTTTTGGTTAATTTGAGAATTTTCTCTCCCATTATTCTGCTTGTGTCACCTTTTTTGATGTCAAATATTCCCAAAGATGTTCAGTGGGTTTGAGGTCTGGTGACTGTGAATTGGAAATCCATGCAAGCCAGCAGACCTTGGTCTTCCTTGGCCTCAGGTACCTTTGATGCATGATCAGGCTCATTGTCCATCTGGAAAATGACTGCTCTTCTACAAAACTTTAAGCCAGTGGGGATGACATCTGCAGAATAGAGTTGTACCTCTCTTTGCTCAAGGTGTAGCTTATCCTGTGCAAATCACCAACCCCACAACAGAAAGCCATTACCAGACCTAAATATTTCCACTTTGTTTACCTGTGGATTTTATGCACTGCTGAATTAATCCATTCTGTTTTATCTTACTCTCAAATAAGGTCTCTAATTTCAAGTTTGTGGTCTATAAACTTTACTCGAGTTTTCAGCAGTGAGTTTTTTGGTATTGTTTGGCATGACCAGTTTTTTATCAAATAAATGAATTAGCAGTAATGATATTAACACATAGAGAGCCATATTGTTTTAGTCTAACCGTGGACACAACAACCGAGCCCCTTAGCTTGAGAGAAGTGCATTAACAACATCATCTGTTAACTACACGGAACAGTATTTTCTCTGAACTTCATTCAGATGGTACAAAAGTACTTAGTCATGGATGTGACACTGTTGATTTGTGGATTTGTTTTAAGAGTTATTGTGAATATCTGACACTGTGCAAGCGAAAGACTAATGCATTACTATTACTTTTTTGGAGGGCATCTGGATGTACAGACTTGATTTGTTCAGATGTGGTATAATGCAACAAAAGCAAGGAGGATATGTTAATATTCAAACATCCCTCACTCTTATATTGATAATATACAGTATGAGGGAAAGACACTGCTAAGTTCCACAGAAAGTGGGTTACTATTCTGTAGGTGTAATATAATATATGCCAAAGAACAAAATGGATGTTCAGTAAAGTCACTCGGTATAAATTCAACATTTAATCACAGAAACATAATTTACTTTAGGCGAATTGTAAAATATTGCGTTAATGTAAATAACATTGCCTGAAGTTACTATACACTAACAGATTTGTAAGTCTCCACAGACCCATCGTAAGAATATAATAGAGGGTATAGAGCCCTTTTCTAATCCAGCGGTGTTTGTTAATGTTTACCCTGGCATATTCTTGCTCCTGACACACAAACAAGCTGGCTGTAAAGACAAGTTTCTGTTAAAACATCTTTTTCACTTATGATGAATAAACTAACATTTTAGTCCAGCTGTATTATAATACACATGCGCTTGTGCATTTATAAAAGTGAGATGTAATAATAAGGAATTTCACATCTTTTAAATTATATGATAGCAGATTCTGTCATTCTTATTTTTGTTGTCCACTATACACCAATCATCCATAACATTATGACCCTGGTGGATCGGACCACACGGGCCAGCCTTTGTTTCCCACGTACATTAATGAGCCTTGGCTACCCATGACCCCTGTCAGCCAACATTCACCTCTGGTGGTGGGCTCTTTCTCCTTGGCACACTTCTTGATAAGTACACTCGACCCACTGGGCCAGACCGGGAACACCCCACACCCAAGCTGCAGTTTTGGAGATGCTCTGACCCATTCATCCAGCCATCACAATTTGGTCAAATTCTCACGCTTCGCATTTTTCCTGCTTCTATGCCTAATATATCCCACCCACAAACAGGTGCAATGATAACGAGATAATTAGTGTTATTCACTTCACCAGTCAGTGGTCATAATGTTAGGACTGATCGGTGTATATTGACCAGGAGCAGTGTACTTAGGTAAATGTGAGTCGCTGCATGGACGACCCACCGCAACAGTTTTAAATAAATAACACTCTCCTTTACTGATTGCACTGCTGTGTCTCTCAAGATCCCAAGAAATGTTTTTAATAATATACTCTGAAATAAGAAGCAACAACTCACTTGAGTTGTAGTACTTTTTGATAAATAATGAAAACAAGCAGTTCTTACAGATACAGTGCCAGTTCCACGATACAGCCTCACGGTTTTGTGTGATGTGTGATATGTTTCCTTAGCTGTCCACCAGGTTTCATGGGGGATTTCTGTGAAGTGGATGTTAACGAATGTTGCTCAGCGCCCTGCCACAACGGTGCCATTTGCCAAGATCTTATTAATAGCTACGTCTGCCACTGCAGGTCAGGTGAGTCACTCAGACATCCTGTGAGTCTCTCAATTTACTTTGAAATGAGACAACCAATGCAGTTTATTTGACTTTATAAGTCCTTTTACAGGAAACCTCTGTGGCTCAGGAACAAGATTACTAAGACACAGCCTAGATGGATGTTTTACTGTGCCCCAGATGTGGTAGAGTACTGTTTACCATATGTAAACCATGTTAATACTTAATAGCACACCCGTATTGGATTGAAAGGGGCCATTTAAAGTGTCACTAAAGGTTACCATAATGCCTACATAGCTCCTTTGCCTCAAAGCCATTCAAAAGTCATCCACTTTTCTCCAGGGAGAAATTTGTAGTCATACAGTACTAAAAAAGACAGTGATAAAAAGACGATACAGCCTGGACTCATTAAAATGTATGTGGCATCTTACTCTTTAGTGAAAGCCTTTTCTTGTCTTTGTATGTGTGTGAACCCAAAAAGAAGCAAATCAATGTAGGAGAATCTGATTGATATTCACTTCAGAGGGTGGAAGTGGGAGAGCCTGGGCTCACCACGGCACTCTGTGGGCTTTTGTTCCTGGCAGGTTGGACAGGCCTTCACTGTGAGGATGACATTAATGAGTGCCTTCCACAGCCCTGCAACCAGGGGATATGCATTCAGAATGATCCAGGCTATGGCTACACCTGTTTCTGTCGTCCTGGATTTGTGGTGAGGCTCCCCACCTTATTCCCCATCTCCATCTTTTTTTTTAATTAACCTTTACCCTCTTGCCACCTCAACTCTTGAATTTTCTCATGACACTAATTTACTAGACTGTTAAAACTGTGTGCTTGCTTTTTTATTATTGTAGTCTAATCATCATTCATTTATTGGTTACTATTACTTTATATAAACAATTTACACCCCAAAAAGTTACTCAAGAAAAAAAATATTGCATATTTTAGATTTGAATGTTGCACATATAATGAAAATAATCTGAATCATCAGTAATCAGATACAATCTTACCTCAAATAAAAAAAACTTGTTTTTGTAACAATGTCATGTTTCCTACTTAATGCAAACTTTATTATTCAAACTGTAAACATTATGTCCCATTTAGCATCTCATTTAAAGGTTGTTTATTTTACATACACAGGGGAGGAACTGTGAGCATAACTATGATGACTGCCTGTTGAATCCATGTCCAGAAGCATTTTCCTGTGTAGATGGCATCAACAAGGTCAGCTGCCTGCCTCCTGTTACGGATGCTGTTCCCTTGGCGACCGTAGTCAAGAACATCACTCGCGGCTCCACACCCAGAGTGCCGACGCCAACACTCAGCCCGGCACCAACAGCTGTGCAATCCACAGGTACAGACCACACTGTGCAGGCATGTACAAATAAGTACGTGCATGTACATTTTATGCATTTTATCCATTTTATTTACTCCAATTTATCTCATCTCGATAAAAAAAACATATGATAAGCTTTTATAATACAATGCATTGTGAAAGATCAAACTAGTGGTTCCCAGCCTTTTTGGTCTGTGACAAAAAAGGAGTATCTACTTTCACATTTAAGATGTCTGAGTTGTTAGCAGTTTCCCCTCACATGGTTACATCTAAATAACAGTTGGAGGAATATTTTACAAAAATAGCAAAATATTAGAAAAGAAGTCAGAAAAAACACTACATATTTACAATAGATGAACTTTGCTTTTTCATTCTTTTTAAGACGTGAGCCTGCACAGAGCAGGTTGCATTTTTTTGCACTAATGTTTCGCTTCTTGTCAGTGGAGAACGGTATTGGGCTCTGGGTACATCAGGGAGGATTTTGGCGCAAAGCACTTTGGAGTTAATAATGCTTCCTCATTGGTTTATTTTGTTGCTGTCACAACGGTTCCCAGCTGACTGACTCATTCTCACTTCTTGCAGCGCAAATAACAAGATGGCAGCAGATGCTTGATGATCGTCAGTCAAGTTCATTCAATATATTAAGGTTCATTCAATATATTCAAGATTCTTCAATATACTCAACGTTCATTGCAATATATTTCAAGTTCAATTCAATATATCAAGGTTCATTCTATTATTCAAAATTCATTCAATATATTCAAAGAATTCATTCACATATAATGTAAAGATTCATTCATATATTCAAGAATTCATCATATATTCAAAGATTCATTCAATATATTCAAGAATTCATTCCATATATCAAAGATTCATTTACATATATTTCGAAGGTTCATTCAATATATTCATCAGATTCTTAATATATATAAAGATTTTTACATTCAATATATTCAAAGATTCATTTCCTGAATGGCATGCCATAGTATATATACGTGTGTATGTATATATATATATATATATAACCTTTATCGTCACAGGGGCGTCACACTCAAACATCTCAAACCAAAACAATGGGCACTACAGACAACCAGATTGCATTGAAACGAACAGTAATTTTACCTAGGAGATAATTGTAACGCGTAAATAAAAGTAAAACTTACCAACACTGTCTTTATTAGTCTTTCCACAGTCTTTCCAACAATCACTTGTTTGGTCAAAAAAATAAACCCTTAATTCCCAGAGTTAGATGAGAAAATAGCTGCCATACAGGCTGCTATGGCTGCCATGTAACATTAACTAAGTGCGCCTGTCCAAGTATGTCCACTAAAAGTGCTTGTTTTTACCACTGAAAGACTCAGATTGTTGAAGTGTATGACAGCAGGATCCTTACAGTGATAGACCCTTTGTTTAACCACACAAACAAAGAGCTGTAATATCGCTATATACTCACGACCAGACTCCAGGGACAAACAAATATTTGTATTTTTTTATTTTTGTGTATCATTGTTCAACTTCATTCAGTGGACAAAAACAAAAACACACCAAAACCATCTTTGTTAGTCTTTCCATTGTTCGCGCAATAACCAACTCTGTTTTGGCCAAAATAAATCCTTAATCCACTGACATAAACAAGAAAAACAGCAGTTTCAGTCACTCTCCTCAGTTTCACACAAAGGGACTGGCACATGTATCTAGACTGGCTTTGTAAACAGAGCACAGACAGGCTGCTATAGCAACACAGGTAAAGGGAGTGTGACGTCATTCTTTTCAGGACGCCATTACTCCACTATATCTTTACATAACAAATAATTGTTTGCTGCTGTATTAATGTTTTAAATCTCTTATGTATGTGTGTGTATATATATGTATATATCTTCTATATACATACGAATATATGATATAAGAACATATAACAACATATGAATGCAAGACTTGCAAAGGAGTATTTTACATTGTTGTATTGCTACTTTTATTTAAGTGAAGAATCTGATCACCACTGGGTATATATGCTGCCCTATCTCAAGCAAATTTAAATCCAATTTAGTTTAGTTTCTAATTGTTAAAGATGTGTACAACTTTAAAGGCTGCATACAATTAAGATGTTTGTCTGTTCGAATTAGTTCACTCATTGTTTAACTTGTCTGTGTGTTCAGGATGATTCTAAATACTTTAAATGTTAACTTTCTTGTATGAGGAAGAACTTTAGATCAACATAATATTATAAATCATATTTACATACTATAAAACACAGACTCATGGTTTTTGTAAAGTGAATAATTTTAATGGAAAATAATTTGCTACCAAAAACAACACCTATTACCTTAATGATAGATCATCTTAAATATGGCAATCAACTTAAATTAACATTTATCAATCAAGCCATATATACAATAACAATGTTATTACGTCCATTAACATTATGTGTGCAAGAAAGTGACACTAAATTATTTGAATTGATCAGCCATTACTCCAATCAATTTGTACTAAAGGTGGTCCAGGGATTTATTTTTTTGACAAATTACAAATCCATCCTTCCCTTGTCCTTCCTTCTTTTCACCAAACATTTTTGCTGCAAAAGGTTTGCCAGTTTCAAATGTGAGGAGACTCCCACTGAGCCGGTACTTCAAATGTGAATTTAGAGCCTTTGGAACATAGCAGGAAATGATATATTAGGTTTGATTGAGAGATTGACATAGTTTGTGCAGCTGTGGTGGGAAAAAAAAACATCTTGTTAAAAGCTAGTTTTGTGTTGGCCACTAAAGCGCATTTTCTGTTTCTATTTGAAAGAAATAATTTCAAAGAGTGATAAGTCCAATCATTATTGGGTGCTATATCCTTTAACACTCAAATGACACACACAGAACCCAATATGTTGTACATTACTGGTATTGGACTCAGTCATCTATGAGAGAGGAGGAATTGGGAGCACTGGGCAGATTGTTACTCCTTGACAGATGAGGCCTGTCTGCCTTTGAAACTGTTCACAGAGCTGTAAAACAGACCTATTGAACACAGACGAGCTTGAACCAATTCAGTGCGACACTCTGAAAATCACTGTGGGCCAAACATAATGGAGTCCTCCCCGCTGCACCTGATCCAGCCTTCATACAGTGCACATTGCACTGGTTTACAAAGGGTTAAATATACACACAAGATACTGGTAAAGAAAAACAAACCCTAGCATCTATGCACTGAATCATGTCTTTATTCTTTTATATGCAAGTGTATAATCAAAGTAAATAAGTTTTAAAGTAAGAGGACCCAGAAACTCATGAGTTTATCTAACTAGGTCACCATCTAAACGCATGCAGTGCCCTTGGTGCTGCTTGAAATAGACTCAGACAGTGCTCCTTTAAACCTAAGACTGCTCCACAACCTTTGAAATATACCAAGTCAATGGGAATTTGAACATAGAGAGGGTAGTTTATATAGTACACTGGCAGGAGAGAATACCGTTTCACGATAACAACGAAATAACGTCAATTAAGTCTGACTTTTTCTATATACCTTAATTTTTTGTAAAAAATAAATTCAGTTCATAAGCAAACTAGTAGCAAGAAAAGAGAATATGTATTCTACTGATTGAGATGATTGTCTTCTGGGGTTCTTTTTTTTTTTTTTTTACCCCCATCTCTGTACATGCAATGCTGAGCTTCACAGTATTTTAGCTCTACAATGTGAGAGCTGATGGGAATCTTGAAAGGACACTGCTGGTGGAGGGAGGCTTACTGCAGCTAAGCCACAATTTGGTTGACTTTCCTTGGAGTGATCACCACAGCGCAGGTGAAGCTGTTATCTTTTGCTGCCACGTGTAGCAGAAATGAAATTACTTAAGCTCCTCAAAATCAACTTGATGAGTAAGAGGTTAGCCAGAGGGTCGTTTCAAACATGCAGTACCTGTCTTGGGGCAGTCACCTTGTTAACCTTCAGTTTAACATGCATGCATTTGTTCTGCACGCCGCTAGTTTATGTTAGTTATATATTTTGCTCATAATTGAGTTGGCGGTGCCTGATTAGTGTGCCTATAATCATTTTGATATATTCAAAAACAACTTTGCCAGTGAGTCATAATGGCATTCGCATGATGTGCACAGTTATGAATATTCATGAGTGAAAAGGCTCGGCAAGATGAAAAAAGCAGTGTCTCAATGTGTCATTTCAGCTGCAGTTTGTGGCCTGTGTGCTTCTGTACAGTAACTGTCAGTGCAGTGCGCAATTTCATCAGTTATTTTTAAAACCAGACAACAAAGATATAATTAGACACTAGATTTTGAAAAAAAAAAGGCATATTATATTTAGGATTTGACTCCTCCGTATGTCTCAGCAGTATAATGATATTTAACTAAACTTCTTACATCTTAAATGTAACATTTTCTGCCAGTTTTGTAGGCACAGTACAGAATGACCTTTTGCCTTCCCTCAGGGCTCTGAAATTGCAAGGGTCCAAGAATGGTCTTCAGCAGTATTTTATCTCTGTCCTGTGACAAGTTCAATCAGTCAGTCTATTACCTTACCCAATAAATCAGGGCCGAAACAGGACTCACATCCTGGCTTTTTTTTTAAATAAATGGGACATTAAGTCTATATCAATTAAATCCGCCATCCAAAGTCTATCCTCATATTAATTGATCTCAAGTTCGTATTTCTCCAAATAAATTTCTCTAGTGGAATATCTTGTTCTTTAACCTGACCGACATTTGCACGCTGTCTGTGCAGCAACATGGTGCTCCACCTTTCTAGGTTACATTAAATATGACTCATATCAATTTTCTCACCTCTTTTATGGACATGTATTAAGACCGGGCGTAATTAAATCTGATCTGAAAGATTCCCACTGAGACTACTTTTTTTTTCCTTTTGAAACTAGAAAAAGATTTTAAACAGAGTACAGTACTAACAAACTCCTTGGTCAGCATTATGTTAGCCCCCTTTTTTCCTGTTATTATAACAGCAGTAAAGAAAATACTGATACTGCATATCAAGATATTTAAAGCGAGGATGCAGTTTAAATTGTACACATTTACAATTTAGATTCAGTCCCACTAGTTACTTAAAACGTGTGGATGAATAATGTGGTGTGAGAATGTAAGGTAGTGGTAAAAACAGGAGACCTTTGAAGGAGAGACTGAATCTAACTGCTAATGAGGTATGTTACTGCCTCCTGGCAGCAGCCTCAGACTGCATCAAAGACTACAACAGACTAAACAAGGCTTTAAAATTAATGAATAGCTTTGTCTCTGAGGGGTAATTTTCCATCATCAGCATTGGCAAACCCCATTGTCAGGAGTGAAGTACAAGACAGCACAGCATTGTTGCGGTGTGCATTTATCCTCATTAATTCACAGATCACAGTAGGTCTGCTCCTGATAATTCTCACTTTTTTTTGTCAGGGGATTTTCCTCAGGGTGTTGGTCATACTGCTCTCCAAAGAAATTGGGGGTATTTAGGTTAGCTTGTTTGCCAAATGCCCTGAGGGGCCCCACTGTCAGATCAAAGGGGCCTCGGCCTATTAGGACTTGACGTGTAACAAATATTGATAAAGGTCTAACTTGCAGCTGCTCGATTAATCATGGCAACAACTTTAAAGGAGCTTTGCTGATTTCTCTAGTGTAATGATTTTTTTCAGATAAGAACAGACAGAGCATGAGACAGGTGCATCCAGGAATGCTTTTCATTTTAACAGGCTCTCCGGTTTGACTTTCCGGCAACAAATTGCACTACTTCCTTCAAATGAGAAATATATTGAGCATGAGCACCCCTAATGCTTGCCTCCAATTGCAGTCTGAGTCAGTCTTTTAAGTTTGTCTGCGTCACTACCCCCAATAAGCTTGCGGGCAGTGGAACTTTTACTGAAATATCCCATAATTGCCCATTCTCATGGATGATATAAGCCAAGTTATTCCACTATAAAATGAGGCATGTAATAAACTTGTATGAATACGTTCATTTCAGCCAAGACTCCTCTCTCGGCTAATATAGTGCTATTTGCATGCTTCACAGCTTTTTGGCAAATAAGACTATTTACATTATGGAACACTAAAAAAACTGTGATGTTACCAAGAGCCCTCAAAGCCTTTTATTCTGCTTTCAAAATAATAATTATCTACCTTTTGCCTCTACTTCACATACTAAATCACATGCACTAGTCTCTTTAGGCTGTTTTAGGTACTGGCAGGCCCGTTCCAAGACAGCAGGGGGCCCTGGGCAAGATTTTTTTTGGGGGGCCCTCCTTACTTTGTCTGAAGCTGAGAACTATGAAATAAAACTATACACTTAATATAAACTCACTCTGTGGAACCCTGTTCTAGGGGATCATATGGGGATTGCAATCTCTAGCTAATAAACAAATGCACTAGACTAATTGAGCTAGCTACCCTGACTGACCTGAAGTTAGCTTCAGACTCGCCGTCTATCTGCAGCAGCTTAATTGCTTCTGAACAGAATTGGCCAATACTCACCTGTGAATTGCAAAAGAATATCAGTAACAATTCCTTCACTTGCTATGAATGGGTTAGCCTGTCAAATGCAGTGCTCACAAGTGCTCACTGCTCATGAAACACATGAATTTCTGACTTCTCCCACTCATACTGCCCGTGCCCACTCGCTGTTATCGTAGAGTACTGCTCACTGCTTGCTGCCTTCTACAGTGCCGCAGTCGCTCAAAACATAGGAAGTGGGGCTACCAATGAATGAGCGGGAATCATTGTCTTGAACAAAGACATCAACAAGTGACTCAAGTCCAGTGAATGAATCAATGCATTACAATAAATATTACTAAACTTACACCGATCAGCATTATGAGCACTGACAGGTGAAGTGAATAACACATATTATCATGGCACCTCTCGATATATAGGGCGGCAAGTGAACATTTTGTCCTCA